TTACTATATTAGCATTTATATAAATATCAATATGTAAATGTTTATATGTATAAATTATAAATATATAATCAATGAAATTAGCTATTATTCGGTAAACAATTCCTCGCATTGTGCGGTTTCAATCAGTCCTGTTTCTTTACTATATTAGTATTTATATAAATATCAATATGTAAATGTTTATATATACAAATTATAAATACATAATCAATGAAATTAACTATTATTCGGTAAACAAAACCTCGCATTGTGCGGATTCAATATGTCCGGATTCAGTATAGTCCGGTTTGAAAATTTCATAATAAGTTAAATTTTAATTGACATCAATGATCTTTTTTTTCTTATGTACAGTCAAGTCTATATATTTGTGCAGATTTCATTGAATCCTCTTTTTATGCAGTATATTTTCTAGACAGTTTTAACGTCCTCGGTTAGTTTAGTTTTACACAACTGAATTTGGACTATGCGAGGTCCATACTTCTTACATAATTCCATAAGTTAATGTTAAATTTCATACAGTATTTGTAATGTTAAATGCTTTGGGTTTATGTTAAAACGAAATGGAGCTTATTGTGAGATTACAGAGAATATTTAAAGTAAAAGTTCAGTCGGAAACGCTGAAGTTAAATGCTACTTAAATTTTGGTCGGATTTTAACTACAAGTGTAAAGTTAAACTACGGAACTAATATCTACTAATATCTACTACTTTTTACTTCTTTTTTTATTATGTACTCATACTCTTAGGTATACAATTCGTTTGCATATACATTACCATATAGAATATAATTTGAAGAAGTTGCTTTAAATTTGAAGTAAAAATATGTTATTTCGATTTGAAAATTAGTCATTAGTTTCATGTATTTTATTTGATTGTTTATAATTATTAACATCAAAACAAACAAAAATATTTCAAATTTAAATAAAAAACATCAGATATTTTAATATTTCTTTCTGGTTAAAGTAAAAATCTATAGTCAAAATTATTGCAAATAAAAATTTGTTATATTTTTTTTCTTCTAAAATAAAATATTTCTTTAACATATTTTTTTTTGTAGGTGTTTATGTCACATCAATTTACTTATTGAATATAATATTGGAGTGAGTTAAGTTTACTTAAAAAAGTAATAAAGTTTCTTAATGTTACGAAGAAACGAGACTGTTTACTTTTTTTACTATTTCTTAAAAAAAATATATATATAAATCCAGTATAATCCATAGGAAATTTTGTTAAACAATATTTTTCCTCGTATAACACCGAAAATATAAATACTTTGTTTTGTACATTTTGTGGGAATCTACTATAGTTATTTCAATAAAAAAAATTGTTGTAAAATTAATCATCTCCAAAAATAATATTTACTTACATATTTATTAAAAAATAAGTATAATAAGATACATTGTATTTAATTATTGGTTAATTTCCATATAATTTTGTATTCATTAAAATAATTTTAAAATAGCTCAAACAAGTATATTTTTGATCATAAATCCAATAATTAAAAAAGATCTACGGATTAATATGATTAAATATCTAAAATACAAACTGAACTATTTTTAAAACTTCTTGAAAGTTTTATTACTAAACTAAGACATTTGCAACGATACAAATAAAAAAGTGAGTACTACAGTCTTCGAATTTTTCACCTTTTAATTACTAACACTATAAATTATATTGTTTGCATTAATTATATAATTATTTTATGAAATTTCTCTATATTTCTTTAGACATTTTATTATATTTAATAAAAATTTAGTTTTGTAATAATTACATATTAAGTAACGACCGTTTGCCCCAAATTAGGACTTATATTATTATTAAATAATGATTGGATTATCATATACGTTCCATAGATAGTGTTTTCATTAATTAATGTGTTAATTAACAGTTACAGTATTAATATCTGCAATCACATTTTTTCTGATGATATTTGAACAGAGATATTAAATTTTGATAAATTCAATTAAGATCAAAATTACATTTTTACAAAAGTGAATACACAAAAAAAAACAACGACGATGATAAGAAAAAAATAGCTTGTTGCAAACATATTTGTGTGCATAAATGCCAAGGTTTTCCGAGCATTGTGCAACGCTCGGTCTTTGACACCACTTGGACCGAGTCATACCTATCCTGATCAATTATAAAGCTATTGGCAACAGCTAATGTCGGGTTATTTAGCTGCAGGAACGATTCATAATGCAATTAAAATAGAATTCCATTAAAAGATGTCAATAACCCTGATGCAAGGAGAGAATATCGTGAATTCAGAAAACAACTTTGTTTTTATTTATTTATTTATATTCATGTTTTATTTGCTCTTTTCTTAATCCAAAAATCACATAATCTCTCACTCCTTCTCACAGAAACTGCATTGCTTGATTCTTTATCCTTATTCAACGTTAAAAATATTAATTATTCATTACGTACAATTTGTGTAAATATAAAAATGGGTAAACCGAAAGATTATCGCTCAGTTCTAGTTTACTTTTGTGCGCGAAACGTGAAAATCGTTACAAGGTAAATGCATTTTTATTATAACCGTGCATTCATTTTATCAATTACTTTATACTAATCATAGATTAACACTTGACATATAATCACTTAGATTATCGTTAATGATAATTAATCGGTTTTGATTAATTAGTTTCGATACATTTATTTTTTTTTATTTTAAGGTCTTGTGAATGCTTGCATACTTCATTTTTTAATGTATTCGCTTGTTTCTATTGTTGCTTTTGTTATTTGTTCGTTTATATATTTTGTTTCTTGTTCGTGAAAGGAGTATCGAGATTTGTGGTGTTTCTGATGCTAATGCTGATGGATATTCTTTTGTACGTGTGTAAATCAGATTCGAATTATTATAAATGCAAAAAAATTTGGTGTTGAGAAATGCCCGAAATATGAAATAGTGTAGTGAGTTCACTGGTATGAAGCAGTTCGGTATCTTTAGATTTTGAAATATTAGTTGTATATCGATTTTGTAGTTGTAACAAAGTATTAGAATTATCCTGAAAATACAGGTATGTTAAATATAGTATTGATAAAGGTTTGGTATTTCCAAAAACATTTCTTCGATTTTATTTTACAATTAGTTAATAGATTAATAGATTGTACAAAATTGATTTCTTTTAACTATAATTATCAGTTGTTTAATTTAGTTGTGAATTTTAATCTAAATTAAATTTGATATAATAATGCTAATAAAAGTTATAAAACTATAGCAAATTAGATGTACTTTAAATATTTCTCATATTGTTAAGCATTGTAAATAATCAATAATACTTCTTGGTATATGATCATACATTCTTTATTTAACTAGATTCTATGAAGGTTGTACTTACTTTAATATTCTTGTTTCATTTAACTTGTGGTTCATTCGTAAAAGACTCGCCCGAGCAGGGACTTGAACCCTGGACCCTTGGATTAAAATTCCAATGCTCTACCGACTGAGCTACCCGGTTTCAGTACCAAAGTTTTTCAGTATTTTTCAATTTTAATGGTACATTAACCTAATGGTACAATCCTAAAATGTTCGCCCGAGCAGGGACTTGAACCCTGGACCCTTGGATTAAAAGTCCAATGCTCTACCGACTGAGCTACCCGGGCTCTGTACCAAGGTTTTCTACTATTTTTTTCAGTTTTATCCAATTTTACTGGTATATTAACTTAATGGTACAATCCTATAGCAGTCGCCCGAGCAAAGACTTGAATCCTGGACCTTTAGATTAAAAGTCCAAATTCAAATTCAAAAATAAGTATATTTACATACAAAATTAATGACACTTTTACAATTTTCAAGGGTACAATCATTTATCTTGTTACAAATCTCTCAGCATAAATGCTTTAGGTTCGAATTTGTTTTATACACTTTTATCAGAATCATGGAGATAATTACCGAAACAATTATTTACATACATACAAGTGTTTACGATACTTAAGATTAAAATTTTAAACTATGGTTGTATATATATACAACTATGTTTATATGAGAGGGAAAATTTGCCTAGGAAAAACCCTTTATTTTATCTAAAATGCTTTAAATATATTAGACCTCTAGGGTGTTATTAGTTGTGGAATAAAAGTCCAATGCTTTATCGACTGAGTTACGCTGGCTATGTACCAAGATTTTTCAGTTATTTTTTCACTTGTATTGCTACATTAACTTAATGGTACATTCTTAAAATGTTCGCCCGAGCAGGGACTTGAACCCTGGACCCTTGGATTAAAAGTCCAATGCTCTACCGACTGAGCTACCCGGGCTCTGTACAAGTGTTTTTCAGCTATTTTTTCACTTTTAATGGTACATCAACTTAATGGTACATTCCTAAAATGTTCGCCCGAGCAGGGACTTGAACCCTGGACCCTTGGATTAAAAGTCCAATGCTCTACCGACTGAGCTACCCGGGCTATGTACCAGGGTTTCTTCATGTTTTTTTTTTCCTTCCAATTTAATTGGTTAATTTGATTAAAATTACTTTAAAGGGACTTTAAGATTGTTAAAACAACTACTACCATTTTTGTCATGAATTTTACTTTTCTACCATATAATCAATCAACTTTATTGAAGAAACTTCTTGAATATTATATAACTTATATAAATATACGCAATCAACAACAACGAACTGCAAGTAGCAATGTTATTCTTCTTTTCAAAATGAAATTCAATGATTTAGTCACAAATCCGTACAGTTTTATTACTCGTAAGGTCACAGATTGAACACGTTACGTGAACTCCAGAATGATGTAGCCCGCATTTGTCACCATCAAAATACAGTCGAGATTCGTTGGTTCTCGCGTGTCTCTGTGTATAAATATGTAAGCATCGCACGTTTCGAGTAGTACGCTTCATTTACTTCGTCTTCATTGCCAATGCAAAAAAAAATAACTGAACTAGCTTTCACACACAACCCTCCGACGTTTCGTGTTTCCACAATTACAGTAAATAGAATCATTTTTAGTTAAATTGGGCATATTTAATGTTCGTGTATAATAGTACATTCAAAGTGTCTAAACTTTATACATAATTTGTATTGTAAATGGATAAAACTTCTTTTTTGGATAATTAAACCTTTGTGGACAAAGATTTTTCAAGTTGAAAAGGTTTTAATGGCTCCGTCTAAAAAAAATCAATTTTACATAAGCGAAGTGTCCTGTAAAGGACATGGCGGATATATCCGCCGCGTATCCGAAAATAGTTAATAATTAACATCACTAGGGTAGAAGTTAAACAAATTCAATTATGGCTGTTTTGGATGGGTGTTACTTATAGTATTGTTGAAATCCATGTTAAATTTATTAACATTCGTAATCCCATCAAAAGTACTCAACAAATGCAATTCATTATTATGAAGAACTTGTATTTTCCTCAAGAATATTCATTATTATTTCTTATTAAATTGAAATGAGTTGATTTCCTTATAACAACAAGTCTTTATATCAGTTAGTTTTTAATTTCTTAATTAATTTTATAAATTGTATATTCTAAGTTTGCATAGCAATTCGCAGTTTAATCCTTAAATCTGTTAAATAATATAACTAGAACACTTTTAAAGCTTTTATTTTAATTCAAATTATATTACTTAATTTGATATTTATTCTCATTAGAAGTTTGAATAACAAACCGTAATATTTCACTTAAACTCAGTTAAATAATAAAAGCTGTAATTCATATGCATTTATACAAATTGCGTAAATAAGGTCAATGTATTTTAACGATTTATTTATATTCAAGTATGTTGCGTACGCATTATTTTCCAGGGTCATTTCTATATATTATTGCAATTTAATAACATGTTTTCACAAAATACACTTAACTGATACGAACCTCTTTCTAAATGCGGAAATTAGATTCAAAGACACGAAAAAAAGAGAACATCTTCGACTTTGTTCTCTTTTTTTGTGGCTAGGAAATAAGTATATAAATAATATTTAATCTACTATAGGGAATTTAGAGACGTTTCGTCTGTGCAGTAGTTTCAGTCATCAATAAATACCTAAAAATGAATGGATTTTTTTGTTGACAAAGTTTTCGTAAGTTTTATTTTTTTGTATCGTTAAAAATGTTAAATTTACTAGAAACGTGTAAACTTTTCTATTAGTTTCATAATTTTCTTTCAATTCTTTACAAATAAACTTTTTGAAATATTTTTTTTGCTAAGTCGAATGACATGGTACTTCAGTTACCCGAAACCTCAAATAACACGTTTTGGTAATATACAACAACTCTCGTAGAATATAATAAATACCACAACCGCTTATTCAAGTGAACCCTTGTATAACAAGATGTATTTACTTACAATTAAATAAATATTTACAACATTTTCTTTACAAACAAAATAAAAATCCAAATAAAAAGTAATATTAAATTAATATTTATTAAACATAAGTTAATGAATAATTGATTTAATTGACATATTTACTATAATTGATTTATAATTAAATTATTATAAAAAAATGTGTAAAAAAAATGTTTTATATGAATGAAATATAATTAAAAATCAAATAATCTTTTAATTACTTTTAATTATAAAAAAATTAATCCCAAATTCACTGCTCTTTTATAATTTATTGATTATAAGTTAATTGGAAAATAAAATTAATAAAAAAAATTAAACATAATTCAAACTGAGGAAAATAGATTTTAATATAATATTTTAATGAGAAAATAAAAGAAATTGAAAGTAATTAAAAGGAAGCAATTTCATACAAAAATAATTAAAAATTACAGACAACACTAAATTTGTCTAAGTATTAATAAAATTATTCCATATTTATACCAAACAAAGAAACGAATCTATTTTTTTGTAAATAATTATAATAAATATGGATAAGAACGTCGCATAAACATAGATAAACTGCACGTAATAAACATAATTACGTAATTAAGCTGAGTTTTATAACAGTTATTTAAATTATTTCACTAAAAACTTGATAAATATGTAAAAGAAGTTATGAATCTGAATTTATTTCAAGAGGAAAATATTACATAATATTTCTTACAATTTTGATTAAATAATTTGTATTTTTTTTTCTGAATGTAAATCTGCACTTAAAAATAAATGCGTGAGTTACATGTCAACGGCCAAATAAATTATTCATACCAAAATATAAGAGAAAAGTTCTTTGCACTTCATTCGAAAAAAAAAATCAATAGATACGATCACTTTGTAGACGCTTTCATCGTATTATATGCAAATTGGGCATTCTTTTCATCTATTTATGCGCGTTTCTTGTGAACTTTGTGCATGTTTAATGTAACTTAGACGTCTATTACAGCAATACCTCGCTTAGTGCGGGTAATTGGTTTGTCCTATATCCAGCCATTTGAAACCGGACTAATTGAGTAATTTCAAACAGCACAAAAGGAGACTTGATTGTACTTATATGGGGTCAGGGAACTTTTTTTATTTATTACCCCAAAATAGATTTTCTTAACACCGAATTTACCACCTTGAAACATAAATTAATTAAATTCAAATGGTTTCTTGTGAACTTTGTGCATGTTTAATGTAACTTAGACATCTATTACAGCAATACCTCGCTTAGTGCGGATAATCGGTTTCACATAGATTCTGCAGTTTGAAACCGGACTAATCGAGTAATTTCAAACAGCACAAAAAGAGACGTGACAGTACATATTCGTGGTATTTTTTTAAACTTTCAAACCGTACTATAGTGAATCCGCAATGATCGGAGTCACACTATACGAAGCATTGTTATGTTTGTAACTTTAGATATATACACACATTTACATTACACAAATTGTTTCCATATTTTGATGTACAGGCGGAAGAAACGATGATTTATTAAATAGCCTTGGTGCACAATGTTTGGTAACTGAACAATCAAAGTTCTCTCTGATATGTACAACATTTGCAGACTACACTTTACAGGAATTTCACCGGAAAATGTGTAACTTTCACACACACTCGCACACATTATGTAAACAAAATTGTTTTCACGTTACTTTGTGTTCAAATGTAAATGTAATACAAATTTTCTATAGAATTTAAACAAAAGG